ATCTACACCTGACAAACTCAAACCGAATGAGCAAATGGAATTGAAGAGCACATTCCAATCTATCAAAACACTTCATGATAGCCTTCTACACCGACGACATCAGAAGATTTTCCCACGGAAACATGGTGCACGGTACGAGCTCAACGAGGTCGTCGAGGTGGACCATTAGGACCATTACGACGTTATCTGAAACGCTGGTCAAAAGGGGTCTCGCATAGTCAGAGCTACTGTCTTCAGACTATTCGCCAGGCACCCGATTTAGCAAATTATTATATGTAGCAGCTTCACAATAAAGCGTAACGGCAGGCCTTCCAGAAACTCGACGGTGATGACAGACGTCTTTTCTCATGACGGCGGGGGCTATGAAGGAGGGCCTGCTTTTGCTCATGCAATTCCCCACTGAGAAGTCTTCCTATTTCACAAAAACTGATACTGATTGATGATTTGACTCACATTGTAGACCCGCGGCGATTCTTCAGGATATGCCAATTTCACAGCAAATGCCAGCATCGCTGCTTGCATTCCGGTATTACAATTTGTCACGATTGGTTGTCCAGCTTTATATCCGTTCTGTGAAAGCACTGAAAGTTCACTATATCAGTCATAGCGTCTAAACTACCATAAAAATGAAAATAATTTAAAACCCAATAAAACTGGTCAAAGTGCAAACTTTAGGATAACTAGTCTCCCATGAGTGAAGCAGCTCACCCAACCCAGGTATTCCTCCTTCTGCAAAAATGGGATTACTGTCGCCGGGCCGCAGTTTGGAACGTATTAAAAAATGAAGTTCACGATACAAATGATATTGAGTCTGAGAGGGAGAGGTCAGCAGACAACCCACCCACATTTCACAGGTCTCCCACAGGCAAGTAAGTGTGGGTGCGAGTTCGTCTCCCATATCAGTATCTGCACTCTTCTAAAAATTCTCAGCTGGCTTTCCTTCGAGAAGCGAACATCAATGGAGACTGTGCAATAGTCGGGTGTGGGTCAAGACATGAGGATAGCTACGGCGTAATAACCAGCTCATTGGCTTATGTCTCGACAAGGAGCTACGTCTGTAATGGCGCGCGTACGAGTTCACTTGCGGCCGTCCTGGCGCCGCTCCCATAGAACTTATTTTACAATCCCCACACCGCCCACACTCACACCACTTCAAGTATTTTCAAGAAAAAACAATTAATATTACATTAAATCTGACCAACCTTCACGAATTTCTTCAGGAGTTTTCATCATTCCATTTTCGTTCACAAGTTCAGCTGCTGGAACGTTCTTATAGCCGGGTATGTTGCTGCCTTTAACTCCTAAATAACCAATGCATCGCCGTAACAGCCTTTTACACCGACGGCATCAGAAGATTTTATTTCTGGAACATGGCGCATGGTTCGACCTCAACGAGCTCCTCGAATGATCGTGGACATACAACTTTATGTAGAAAACGCAGCCGGAAGGATCTCGCAAAGCTGGAGCTACTGCTCTATCTAAAAGCTACTAACCTGCTTAGCGCAATTGAAGATATATAGCACTTAGCACATTATGACATCGTTCCCTTAGGTTGACCTTTCCTGATGTAATGACGTCACATTTCTGAGACGAATGTTCAGGCAATAATACGGCCCGCTGCCACACATGACGAAACACTCAAGAGTATTATTCTAGTATAAATCTTACACATCAACAGCGGACACACTGCGCGATGAAAAGTTCATGTACGCTATTCCGGGCAAGAGTGATCTTCCAACCCCTTCTGCTATGTCATAATAAGGAATGAAGGGCAACCCAAACTGTCGAACAAATGATTTCATGCTCCTCATCTTCTAGCCATCGCTAGGCTGCAGTAGATTAGCAAGCAGCGCCGCTCACCACGCGTTGGGTAAGGAGGTCGAATGTCGACTTGTACCCCACCCACACCAATCATGCTTGACATCCATCCAGGTCAAATGGTACGAGAATTGGTTGAAAGAAAAATGCTAACTTGTGCACCGCCTGGTTTTGCAAAAAAAAAATTCTAGAAGTATTTAGGTTATTTAATGTCACACTAGAATGCACCGCAAAGAATAAAGTCATGCGCATTCCATAATGCATTTACTTCAACCCAGAGTATCTTCTTGCCATTCTAAGTCACAATGAATTTGCACAGATAAACGTTCTTTGACCTCTTTTAATCCTAACACCAAAAAGTAATTATACAATTAAATTTTTTCCTCAATGACTCTCATATCATTCTCAAGCGCTTCAAATCAAAAAATCCTCCACAATGGCCCCAGCAAACTCAAATGAATTTATAGAGATCGAAGACGTACTATGCACATCCATCCCCGTATCCTCCGTGCCATTGAACTGACCACGCAATGCGAGCATCCAGAAAGTTTACCTATAATCACTGAGATAACAGTCTCGTCATCTGAAGCGAAAGCAACACAAACGGGTACAGCCCACGATGTTCTTCAACAGATGACGAGCGCAACAGGGGAAGCTTTATTGCTACCCTTAACCCCACATATGATTTTGTAGCCGAATCTATTAAGCGACTGCTACTCATAGAAATTCAATTTCATTCACCACTGAAAAACTAACCCATCTTTTGCAATCTGCAACTCCTTTCTTGCCGAACATAGGCGCTGATGTTTACCTGCTTTTCTTTGCGCTATTGAGGTTAGGCTAGTAAGCAATTTACTGAGTATAATTTACTGTATAACTGGCAGAGTGGCACCGTTCCGCGCACAGGGTAGTGGACCAACGAGTTGTTTCCTTGTTCGGGTTTTCAGTTGATCTCTACCCCGCCAGGAACGCCATGTAGAAGGGAGGGGGAAGTAGTTGGACAGACTTGAAAGGCAACTCTCGATTCTCGAACCAGGTTTAGGTTTTTAAGGAAGACCGTCTATGGAAACCTCGGGTCAATAACGTCTTCCACTTACAAATACCGCTAGCACAGGGAAAAACGCCAGCACTGAAACGGCCACCTTTTGACCACTCATAACATAAACCAGAGGTTTTGATAACAATTGCGCAACGCATGAAGTTCTGCCGTTTCAAAATGAAAGTACGATATTGTCTGTGGGACGGAAAACCCAGTGGCCATGAAAATAAGGGAATGATTCTAGTCCTTCAGTAACCAAGGATAATACAAAGTGGGAGGCGGCCTGCGTGGTGTCACATGGCGACTACGTGTGGTCCCTATATCAAATTTCCGATCGAATTCCGCCCGAGTCTGCTTGCTCACTACCAATAATGCAACTAAGCACAACTTACTTCGTCTGTCCGTTCCATGTACTGCTTTCCACCTTCCTTCTTTTCCAACTCCTCATACTTTGATATTGTTAGGAGCGATATTATCTTTGGCCTTCCACGTTCCAGCCTAAGAGTGATCACGATCAAGTCTGCGCAGCTTTGCATCTCACAACTATGACGATAGCACCAAAAGTTACCGGAAGCTGTACGTCTTCAGTACTAATTTCAAGTCCTTTCCTTCTCCCACAAAGCGAAGCCGCCATCAAGAACTGATGACTTCTCGTGACCATAAGACTAGAATCATTAGCCATATGGGTAACCAAAGAGAAATGGAAAGAATGCGTGCCTTCAACAGCCAGGAGAATTTGGTACTGTACTCCATTCCTCCTCGATCGTCCCGAGAATACAGGATTATATGTTCACCATCATTGACGCCGAGCATCTAGGAGAGAAGAAACCTCAT